ACTGTTAGTCTGGTTGAAATAACAAATAACTCAGCATTTATCTAGGAGTCATTGATGGTGGTACGAATAGCACTAGCCACGACGTAGGGTGCAAGCTGCTGATCGTCACCGGGCGTGTGGGCCTTAGATCCGTCAAGCAAAATTCAAATTCTCGGAGGCAATTCAATGCTCATACTAGCATAGCCACTCGAAAGCTGACTGCTTTTGGAGATTTGAACATTGGTGAGCACTGAACGTAGCTTATTGGTCTAGAGATAAAGGAGAGTGCCTAATCTACATTTTCAGCGAAGGATGGAGAACCAATCAACATACAATACGCCCTCCGATTCGCTGCGCCTCCTTTCGTCTCGGATTCCACCGACAGCCACAAAAGTTCCAATGATGCCAAAGCGACCGGAAGGCCCCACTGTGGATTGGCTCATCAGCTCATCCATATCAGCCAATGCGGCATTGTCGACTGCTGTTCGACTGTCGGGGAGTTGCCCCTGGGCCCATCAACGAAGAGCGGGCTACGAATCGAGGGGTTTCTTGTCGGAATGTACGGTGAGACGTTGCTACCAAGATTTCCGTGCCGCCGCCGAACTGCTTTCCCGACATTGACCTTTGCGAGTCTGCTAGATACCGCGAGGGCCGTCGGTTGGAAACAATTCGGCTGATTCTGACAGCATATGCCAGCGATACAGCAACGGAGAACTTGTCTAGCCACCATACACCATATATGCATCAAATCTAGGGACTCTTGCTGGCTGTGTCCCGCGAAACGCTCAAGGCGCGGGCGATTGGTGGCTTCGGGATGGCGGGTGCTAACTCCGTACTAGCGTCGGGATAGCGTGGATATCAATCAAATCACCGGACCTCGCGATCCCATATCGAATCGCAATAGGCGCCTGAGAGTCGAACTCCCTGCCCTGATTGGCCGCCGCCGCCGCCACATCTGAAATATCCTATCTACGTCTTCTAATGCTTAAATGTGATACACGTTCCCACAGTCAATAACTCGAACGCCGCCTGCTTGGGAAGGTAACTTTGTCGGCCGGTGGCACTGACAAGGCGTCAATGCGATACTAATCGATACCGCTGATCAAGCTTGTGCTGAATCCCACTGGCAGCGCGCCTGATGAGGGAAAGGCCCAAAGGCAAGGGAGCGTCCTTCTCCGACATTGGCTGCAACTTACTTCTTTCTTGCTCAACAATGACAGATGCCATGGTTTAGTGTATGGCGTCGGCATCAGACCAAAAGAAGATAGGCCGCCGCTCACGAAGGGTACTACTACGTGGTCTACGCCCCTAGTTTCTCTAGTTCCGCTTTCGTCGCCGAAACTGGGATTCGGATGCTGGCAAAGTGGCTCTCCTTTCGTACGTAGAGTGGTTTGAATGCCCGAAGGCGTTCGCCGCTTGTGGCTTAACATTGGATGGAAAATAGTATGATATCCTCTAGCAGGCTTCCCTGCTATGCGTCAGTCCATTGTCATCGCTTTCTGGAAGCCACAGCCGCCGTGATGCCAGCCGATTTTGGGGTTCCGTGCGCTGGGACTTGTGCTTACGCTGTGGTATATCTTTGATATTGCCCGCCTAACTTTGTCCGTGCGGTATCGACAGCGGAGGCCATAATATTCGCCCGCTACGTGGAAGTACGGTTTCATGGAACTATTCAAAGTAACCGGCTAGTGAGTTTCCTCTGTCTCGTCGGGATTCCGTAGGATTTCCTTGTACCGTTTCTCCCATGAGCCCCGTTACCTGACGAACACTCCGATAGGTTCCATGGCCAGAGCCCTTGCCCTTGAAGTGACGAGCAATCGAGAGCACATGTGCTATTTTCTACCCCTACCCCTCTCGCAAACCTTTTGCTTCTCTCGAAGGCCAGATCAGTTATGGTTTGACAGATTCCGACGGGCATAGTCTTGCTGGATTGAGGTACGGAAATTCGTATCTTCTCGCACTACCCCTACGTTTCCTCTTTGCACTGGGACGTTTCGCAGATAAGCTTGGATAATACGCCCGTGCGGCGTGAAGACCCATCGCCGCTGTTCGGGTCCCGGAATGGGCCCTCGGACGTGTAATCTAGTCCTCGAAATACTGTCCTCTTCATCGCCCATCTTGGGTCAAATGACTCCTCGATTTACCTCATCCTTTGTTACTTCCCATCGTCGAGCATCCATATGGCTGATGCATCAATTCGAAGCCTTGTCCATCGGCTATTGGTTACGACATTCCTCGCCGATGCCACCATACTCCAATTGTGCACTAGTTCAATGCCATCTGGTTCCGGGGTCAATTATTACAGTGGTTAGCCCTATGTATCGAAATATTTTCCGCCGTGCCATTCGTCTAAGTCTGTCAGTATTAGACGGACTGGGTATTCTATTTTCCAGAATCCCCACAGGCATCTTCCGCTTCCGACGTTGCCTCGAGGCTTAAAGGTTCCAGACCAATCCATGCTAGGCTGGAAAGACGTATGTCGCGGGCTTCGATGAAAGTCTCCCTGAAAAACAACTAACAAGCCGCGGAATATGAACTTCGCCTAATATGGTGCTCTGGTACAAGCAACATTTTGCATCCGCGTCAAGTGGTCGATCTGGAGGCGGAGACAAATTCATTTGAGGCCCCTGAATTTGTCTTTCTCGTCCGGGATTCCTTTGCCGATTGCGATCAATCCTCGCCCAGCGATAGCGGGATCGTTGCTGAACCGTTTCATTGGTCGTTTGATAACGAAATAACGAACGTTCGGTCAAAAAGTGGGTGAGGCAAACTTTTCGGTATGATTTGATATGCTTACAGGGGACTTTCAGGGAGACTTACAAGTTTCGTACTAGCGAGGTTTTGTTTACTCTTTGTTTGGATTTCAGGCCTATGTGACATGTTTTCTATCAGACTCTCGCTATCCTTGCTGTGCAAGTTGGCAATTCCACCCATTGACGGTGGTATTGACATGGTGTTATTGACACTCTCCAACATTTACGGGATTGTGCCCATGCTGCCAAAGTTTCGTAAAGTCCACCAGGCCAGTCGAATTAATAAGGTCATCAGTTCAATGGGCAGGTACTCGTCTCAAGGATATCCGAGCGGGACTCGCGTATTTCTTTCAAGGCTCCCGCTACAATGGATCGACTTTCAGAACGTCGATCGTACGGGGTACCTTGATGCCGATTGTCGATCGGAGAAGGAGTGAAGCTCTGGGACTCATCCTCCGTAGTTGCGAGTTGAACGATGAATTCTTGTTAACAACTGACGGTATATTAGTCCTATGCTATGCGTACATATCTGGTTCTCGGAAGCTCGAACTAGTCCTTCCTTCAAAATTGGGCTATTGGGATCCAAAGCAATCCTCGGCCTTGCGGTCCGCCACATGACGGAGGCTCGGAACTTGTGGCGTTATAGTTCCAACTGCTTGGTTCGCAGATACCGCAAGTTTGCAATTCGACCCTGCGCATCATCGTGGGGTTTGTGCGTTTGAGCTTGTGGCTCCATGCTACTTGTCTGGGCGATTAATTAAGCAAGGTACTCACTGAATCGCGTACTGTAACTCGTGCGTCGGGGAATAGGTTGAAGCCCATTGACTTTGAGGTTCGGTATGGTGGCAATGGGCATCCGTTCGTATTGGCTAGATAGAAACTTTGATGAAAGGCCAATGATCGACGAATGAGAATGCCAAGGCAGCAGGTCGGGCTCGTCATCGTCCGGCCTTCAGTGGCACGGGAGTTTGCGGTCAGTAGAAGGTTCGTGCACCGTACCGTAGACAACAGAAAACGGTGCGGCCACCTTGACATCCTGCAGAGGCGAAGGACTCTGAAGTCCAAGCATTCGTACTGCCGAGACGATAACGACACCAATAGAGAGATTAGATCATTTATGCTTTCAATATGCTCTCAATCACTTACTACCAACGCCCACGGCTCTCCTTTGCGATCACCGCACGGATATCTTGGATATTCTTGAGTATTCTCCGATGTGGCGAAGGGGTGGATGACATGAACTTGAAATCCTAGCCCGTATCATCGATGTGGTGATCGCGATTTCCCTTCAGTTCGTGATTAGAAGGTGGGGTTGAGGGAAAATGCTGACCCTCGACGAAGCACACATTGATTTGAAGAACGATCAGCGGCATCGTATGTCCATTACGCATGGGTATAGCCCGGGCGTAACCTAATACAAGCGACTCTACCCATCGGGCAAGTTTATTGAAGCTCGGAAAATCCGGACGAGAGGCTTGCTTAGAACTCATTTCATCCATCGTGTCTTCTGAGTTTCTGACCTCGACGTGGCAGTAGGCAGTACTAGCCCCATCGCTGCTTTTTTCGCGAAAAGTTGAATGAATGGAATGGAAATACGAGGATGCCCAGAAGGCAATGATGACCTGTGTGCGATAACGATTAGCTTGACTAGGTTCTAACTGATGAGAAGCTCTACGAAGCTGTGCCCCATGGTTATAAGCAGAAATATGACGGTCCTCATTGGTTTGTCTCTGCGATTGTCCCGGTCCGATGGGATCCAAGCGCCATAATAGGTGTGCTCGATGACCCGCCGTGTGCCTCGTCAATCAAGAGGACCAAAATATACGGCACAACTAGTCTTCCTGGCATCACGAGTACTATATTGGCCCTTCAGCGAGGATTTGTTGATGATCACCTCAATACCCCCTTTTGCGACAATATAACTGAAAGCGACGAAACATTAAGGCGCTTAAACCATCCTAATTTTACTGAGCTGTCTTCATGTAGTTGTTCAGTTGGAGAAAAAATGGAAGAGGTTTAGAATTCACCGTGTCAGCGTCCCAGCCAGACTTGACTGGAAACAGTGTGGTAACGTAGATATGTTGTATCCACTTGACATTGCTTCGTTCTCAGCATAAAACCATTGGAGGGACGGCGTATTCATGTTTGAAATTGGAATAGATACATCCGCATGCGGGCAGAGGGGCAATATGAGACAGAGTCCGGTTGAGACAGCAAACAACGAGTTCGAAATGGACAATGGAATCATCCGAGCGTGGTGGTACCCCGTTAGACATACCTAGTCTTCTCGACGACCACGACTGGAACATTCTGCGTGATGGATGAGAACGATGGTGCCACAGTGGGAGAGTTTGTACACTTACCTCACCACCCTCAAGTCGCACGCGGGATGCACGGGCCTTGGCTCTGGAGTTCTTGATCATCTTGGAGACCGCGAAAAGACCGAGTAACAAGACGAAAGCAAACGCGCCAGCGAATGCGGACTGGATGTCGTTTCCGGTAGCGGCCTCAAGGAGGCCAACTGACTTGCCGGAGCAAACTTGACGCCACTCCTTGTTGCTGGTAATAGCTGCGTTCTGCAAGCGGTTAAATTACATGAAATCGAATTTTCAGTTTGATGTGTCGCATACCTCGGCACGATATATGAACTCCGTTACTGGGATGTCTGCGTGATGGCCGAAGACATGGAGGACTTCCCAAGCGCCTGCGGTTCCGTTCTTGAACTTGAGCCTGATGAAATCACGAGATTCGGGAGGAGGACCGCGACGGAGCTCGATAGCGAGAGCGGACGAATAGTCAGCTTTGATCATTGTGAGCAGATGTAGAAATGGGTTTTAGAAGCACATACGAATGGCGTTGAGTTGAGGGTGGTCTTTGATGACCTCGAATTGGTGAAGCAGAGAAATGAATGGTTGGTAAGTAGTCTGGATGAGCAAGAACTGGAGAGGGTCTCCATTGAAAGCAATCCGCTCCAGAGAGCTGATAATCGCGTGCAACACCGTACGACCAGCGACTAGAGAGGGAATCAATGGCGTCGAAAATGCAAGTACCAAAAGGGCGTACTGTTGCCGATGCCATTGATTTGGTCGTCTGAGAAGACACCAGCTTCGTGCCAGTCGGCATAGCCTCGAGCCTGCTCAACGAAAGTAGGAGGAAGACGGTGAGCATAAGTTTTGTTGTGGGTCAACTGAGTGTTGACGAAATCGAAGATCTAGGTGGAGAGTAAGACGGACGTCACGAAGAATGGAAGATTGAAGTAACAAACATTCCACTAGAGAGAAGAAAGTCAGTGAAATCTGTGAAGTACAGTCATTAATTCATTGTGATATACGTACGCTATTTTCCAATGTGGTGGGACGTCCGAAGACGAAGTCTTTGACGCTGGCATAGAAGCCGGCGGCTTCCTTAGCCTTGGTCTTGAACGCGTCAGAGGCGTGGAACTCTGCGACATGTTGTTGGAATGCCTGGATGAGAGCGTGAGTTTCACAGTGGGTCCAACCCGGCGAGATAAAAAACTCACAGGGCAATCGGTCCAACTTTCCAAAGAACGGTCGTTTCCTGGTTCGACAGTTTCGACTGAATGGCAAAGAATTATGAGTTCCTTTACTGCGTGAACGAAGGCAAATACTCACCTGGAACGTATTGGTAGCCGCCGAGAGGGGCGATGACAGTGGTCTCGTTAGCAAGAACAATCTTGTTCTTCGGGTTGGGGGGGAATAGGCCTTGGAGGAGAGCGATGGCAGAGTCGAAGACAACAGTTCCTTCGCCCCCGGCTTTGACGCGGACCTTCACTTCATTGTTATCAACGATTTCGGAGCTGATCCCTTTGATGAAAGAGGGAGAGGAACTAGAGAAGTAAGTGGAGCGAAGTAAGGCGCCCAGTTGGTGCGAGTCAGCCTAACAGGCCAATTAGAGATATATGTCGACATAAAGTGGATTAAAGTACCTCGCCGAGAGCGGTTGTCTCCGTAGCGGAGTAGGAGTAAGTACTAGGATCTTGGTAGTACGCGGTGCGATCACCGTTGCGAGCGAGAACGACGACGCCGAGGATTTCAGACATTTTCGAGGATTCGACTGGAGAAGAGTTGCTGTGGGGCACTGGGGAGAAAGGCATTCCGAGCGTTGTTTATAAACGAGTAGAAATGAAAACGATGCTGGGGAGAGGAGGTGACAGCAAGAGGTTGTCGACACCTGGATGCTAGCGTACCGTGCATTTTGACTTGCGCAGTGGCGTTGTGACCGGTTCTCTACCGCCGATGATCACAGCGTGCACAATGTGAACGGGCTACACGTTTCCAGGTCATGCCTGGTGGCCAACGCATTGCCGTTCATTTTGGGTTCAGCAATGGAAGTACTTGGTCTCGAACAAAGGCCAAAGCGTTGCGCCCTCCAGTGAAAGGATGTTATAAACTGAGCTAATCATCTAAATAAGGATTAGAACAATAATGAAATGAAGATAAAGTAAAGCCGCCGGATACCATGGTAGTTTCGTTGATGATAGCTTTGGAGAAATTACGCGGGAATCGCGTAAGAGTTGTGCACGTTAAGGCGTGGCCGCCAGAACGTGCCGTGATCGCACGAATCCCGTGCGATGCTGATCAGTGTTGGTGTGCTTGGATAATGATAACATCTGACAGACACGAGGCTGCAGGGAGGGTGCCTAGCAAGGATAGTCTCCAACTCTTTCTTGGGATCGGTACTCGAACACGATTAAAGTATAGACAAGGGGTAGATAACCTTGCGGTGGTGGGAGAGGTTGCCGTCTATCCGGATGAACGACCGAGAGGTCTGTGAGAGCAATGCGTTAGAACGTCAGGGCCTAGGCAAGGCATCTCAAGGAGCGCAGAGACAGTGGACCGTCCCTGTGGTGTTTGGTTCTGGGAGGAAACTCAGAGGCACGAAATTGACAATGTGCTGCCGAACAAGCATTTAATGAATGCAAATGAAGGAAACGGGTGATTCCGTCAGGTGATACAGAAAGTACAGCGGGCAGGGCAGTGAGAACAAGGCATGGATTACAGGAGCTCACCTCACGAAAGACGTGCTCTACTTCTTCCTTTTCCCCTTCGAGCCGGGTCCCTTCGAAGGGGTGGATACACTCACCCCACCATCGACACTGGCGGCTCCTTAAGTTGCTCCGCCTGCCCCGGTCTTTCTGCGACGACCTTGGAAGAAAGTCGATCTCTCGCTCTTCTTGAGCCATCGCTCTGGATCGGGGGGAGGCGTCACGCCAGGGACAACGCCAACTGGGACCCGAGACCTTCTAGGCTTCTTGGGAACATCTTTGACATGGACGTCGGGTGATTCCATCGAGGTCGATGGGGTAGAAACCTTGATCGATTGCGCCAGTTGTGACGGGGGTGGGGAGGACTCGAGAGAATTGGCCAGCGAGGATGGCAATGTGCCCAGCACGTGCAGAAAGACTGCATTAATGAAGTCAAGGTGGATTTGTGACGCCTGCAAGTTCGTTAGCACATCGGAATGTTCTTCGGAGTGCTACACTTCTATTAGATTGGCCAAGATCGAACACGAGGGGGAGCCCACTGGATCAGAGGTATCTAGTAGCTGCGAATATAAATCGCACGCGGCCTGATATGATCCTTGGCGATAGTTCTGGTACATCAACAGACCATGAGCTGGGCATGGATACATGATTGTGGGGAACGCACCAGTTGAGCTTCTAGATGGACCACGCCTCGATGTCCCCCTTCCTCTAGAGACTCCAGCAGCTCCACAGCCTCTACCTCCCGTTGTAAGCGGTAAAGTGAGTACGTGCGCTCGAAGGCGTATTGGTTTTCATCCTTTCCAGATTTGATGAGTTCCAAGGCCGCGTCGTACTGTTCAGTTTGGAGTAGCAAGAACAACTTTGTCTGCCGCGCGTCGGGGTCAGCGGGCTCCAGCCGCAAGACTATTCAATACACTTAAAAGATGAGTACTATAGAGATTGGGTGCCCACTTTTGTCGCAAGTCTTGATGGCGTTGCTGAAATGACCGCCGTCGATTTGGGCGCAGAGTGATGTGAACAGCCGTTTCAACCTTTCCGACGCCGGTATAGCTTGCTTGGATGGGCCACGTTTGGACTTCTTCACCGACGATGGGACTTTTGAACTTTTCGCGGGCTTGCTAGATGTCTGGGGCAGCTTGGACGCCATGTCATTGCTGCGCTGAGAAAACTGGGTAACAACTCCCGTGACGCGTGTCACTTTACTCCTAGCCCCTAACCACAGCTTTCCCTCCCTCTTTTGAGCATGCCCTGTTACCTGAGTATCGCCTGCTTGTACGCAGCTAGTTCTTCATAATTCAGATAGGCAGATTTTCTTCAGCTGACACTTTTGATGGCACAAATATCTAGTGCATACAGGAACATGAGTTCGATAAACTGCTGCTGTAGGCTCCTAACCACCTCCTAAAGACTGTCCCTTTTTCAGTTTGAATCTCATCATTCGGCACCTGCCAGACTGGCGTCGTTCCGCGTCTTCGCCCCAACCATTTTTAGACACCAACACCTCGTTGTAATAGGTTTCCTATTTTCCTTTCCCGACTATGATATAATCTACTATGAAAAGATGAGCAATGCAGCCCGCACCGGTCTAAAATGGTACATGATTTGTATTTCTATAGATGTTTGCTTGTTCCTCTCTCGCTGACAGCTGTTCTCTAGGGCCTGTTCATCAACGTCTTAGGAGTCGAAATCTACGTATAGTGCACCGTGCGTTTCGAGCGCATCTTCATAAGTAAGACCGCTTTTACCTCCTGCAAATAGTGCGCATGACTACAATGCCCATCAAAAGAAGAGTTCATGAGCTGGGCTGGGCGCCGAAGCTTGGGCTTGAGCTGGTTCCATGTGCTACAACGCACCCACCACTCTCTCGTGCTGGATTCCAGTGCGCATGCGTGACCCACGCAAACACATCCACTCGAATGACCGATTGCCTAGGGCCCGGGGCTCTTGACCAATCAACATTGTGTTGAACTCGCAGCGAACGAGGATGTGCCCCTAAGGTATCTGGCATCTCGGAGAGGTAAGCCAGAGCGATACTGCACATGCGGCCCGACTTTGCTAATGCCCATAGATAAAGGTACAGGAGCAGGGGGTGGCTTATCAAGCACACTGTACGCTGGCCTTATTCATCAATGCTTCGCCTGCTTCTCACAATTCGTCATCTCTTGTCAGTATTTCATGGAGCACGGAGCATCAATATTCCCGCTCTAGTACTTTCGATACCCACTCAAGCTCGGACCATAAGTACACCCAATTGCCAGTGACCCATCCCACTGCTCCAACTGTACCGCGATCATTATGGCCCTTCCTACTACCACTAAACAATTTATTCTCCCAAAGGTCAGTGATTTGTGGAAATGTGTAGTCGCCGTGCTTAAGCCCGCATATGGCCTACCCTCGTCTTTAGCTCGGATCCTATGACTACTTGACCCTCTCACAGGGCGCGGTCAGGCCGCCGAAAGCCACTGAAGCTCTCATCAGAGTACATGCAGTATCGTTGCAGGTAACGCACATTACTGTTCTGCACGTATAGAATCTGATCGGACCTCCGTAAACTAGTACCGTGATTTGATCATCGCCAAGAATCAATATCCGCTGGGCAAAAGGTACACATCCCTTCACTATATCGAAGGATGCTCTTTCTCTAACCACCTCAACTCGTCAGTGCGGAGAACCTTGTACCAGGTTCTGACCTAGCGGGCGAAATCGTTGCTGTTGGCGAAGATGTCACTGCTTTCAAGGCTGGCGACCGTGTCTGCGCCAATTTCTCTATCAGGCATCTCGACGGCGACCCATCGCCAGAGACTATGGGTGCTTCACTTGGAGGGTCTATACACGGTGTCCTGACGCAGTACATCACCCTGCCGGCCGAGGTTAGCTAGATTCACCAAATTCACCTATCGTCTTCTTGAATTCATCACGCAGGCGCTCGTTTCAATCCCTGAGCATCTATCCTACGAGGAAGCGTCGACACTCCCGTACGTTGTTCCCGCTCGCCTTTTGCGCTCTCACCAACCATCTGACTTCGGCCAACTTTCCTCGCTTGCTTCAGCTGCGCCGCTTTGACGGCTTACAACGCCCTCCTGGGACCCGTCCCCGTCAAAGCTGGTGATTTCGTCCTTGTCCAAGGGACCGGTGGTGTTTCGATGTACGTATACCGTAACCACTTGTCGCGTTAGGTTCTCCCACTTATATATGTACTTGTATCGTCGGCGTCTACAGATTCGGCCTGCAATTTGCGGTAGCTTCCGGCGCAACCGTCATCGCGACCTCGTCCTCCGACGAGAAACTCAAACTCGCGGGCGAGCTCGGTGCCAAACACCTCATCAACTACAAAAAGAACCCGGAGTGGCAGGAGGAGGTCAAGAAAATCGTGAGTGCTTACGACGTTGCTATGGAGACCCTTCGTGCACCGAGAAGGTAGATCGTGACAACGTGCTCACATCTCGCCCTGATAGACTGGTGGACGTGGCGTCGACCATGTTATCGAAGTCGGCGGACCCGGTACACTTCTGAAATCTATACAGTCAATCAAGCATGCAGGCTGGATACACATCATCGGCTTCGTCGCAGGCGGTCAAGATAGTAGCCTCGTAGGTCCTATTATAGGAACAGCTGCCAACCTCCGTGGTATCCTCATCGGCTCCGTCAGACAGTGCGTGTATACCCTTTTCTTCTGCGTATCACTACTGATTCCACTATGCATTCGTGCTTTCAGGTTCAAGGACATGAATCGACTGATCGCAACACACAATCTTCGACCGGTTATCAACAAGGTTTTCCCCTTCGAACAAACGCCTGAAGCGTACAAGTATTTGGAATCGCAGGCGCATGTTGGAAAAGTCGTCATCAAAGTGTCATGATTGTATCTCGACCACGTAATGCAAGCAACGCAAAAGTTGAGATAATTTGTTCGTGGTCCACCTACCTACGCTGCTGCCTTGCTAGCTGGCCGTGGAATGCGGTAAGACTGACAGACGCGATCGAATCTGCTATCACTCACTCACTCGATGCTATGGACTCGAATACATTGCTGCTCTTGTTATTACAGAAGCCAGGCAGACGCAGTGGCTGATCACCCGTCACAGTGTTATCTTGGTGGGTTCACCCCTAACTCCTGCTGGACCTCCATTCGAGGAAGTAAACTCTTCAGGAAAGTAGTCTCGAAAGATGACCAGACGTGTAGGGGTTGAACACATAGTACGCCGTTCAGAGTAAGAGAACGCTATTGATATTTACTTCCGTGTGTGATTTCCGTATGACGACCTCCCGGCATCCGCGTCGCGTCGCGATCGAAGTGGCCGTGCTGAAGCATCCATTTGTTAAATACGTATTTTGCTTTGTTTTAGTAGAGCACATTAGATACCTAGCTGCTTCACGTTCTATCCCCTACGGCTCCTGGCTTGGTACGTACCTCACGCTCGCCCTTCTCCCTAACTAATAACCCGCCTTTCTCTCGCCGCAGGGGGTTGGTCTGGCCCATCGGTGAGTACACGCCTTCGTCATCGTCCCCGCCGTTAGCTTGGAGGGAGGATGGGAGGGCACTGGCGCTCGCGGAGAGCACCGTGTGGAGGGGAGGGTGTTACGGGTATCCTGGGTTGTGAATGTGTAGTGTTGCATTGCGAGGATGTGCCGGGTTGAGATGGGACACTAGGAGAAACCGAGTGCATCCTTTTGAATGCTTGCACCAGTAAGTGCGTGACTTCGGAGTAACTATTACGCCCACAGCGGCAGCGCATACCCAAGAGGGACAACACAATTGACACTCATCGTTGTTAGGTTCGACGCCGCAGTTGCATTGTTACTGATCGTCTCGTAGCACGAGTAACTCAAGTCGGAACCGCCTGGTATGATAAAAGTCAATAGCATCAATTTCATATTGATAGCGAGTGTGCCCTGCAAGATACGATGTAGCATAAATCGTGAGCGGCCGTTGCCAGAATTAGGGAAGGTACGAGTCGAGCAAAGTAAAACATAACGAGATAAAATATAAGTCCAGCGATGGGTGAAACACGCAAGATGAATATCTGGACTACAAGTTACCAATAGTTGGCTTGATAACAGACTTCAGATCAGCCTTCAACTTCTCCTTCCTTAAGTCCTCCACGTGAAGGACGGCTGCAGATAAGTGATGCATAGACTGGGGCCAGAACTCGTCATGAGCAGCGGCGACGCTATGAGCGGCAGCTTTGACAGCTTTCGCAGTATTGATTTTCGCAACTGCAGCTCCCTGTGGACGACCATTCATCAGTAGGGTTCGAAGATCGCTAGGCTAGACTACGCACCGACTGAGGAGGGTCGGCCTTGATTTTATCGTCTGCAGCAGCGATAGCATCTTGGTAGCTCGGGTCGTCGTTGAGCCAGCTACCTCGCTGCTTATCGAGGAGGATAAGAAGGTCTAAGGAAGATGTCGTGGTGATTTCACTCCACGCGTCCTTCACATGCTGGACCCACCCATCGGCAATCTACAACGATTCAGGTCATGAGCTCACAATCGACGTGGAACGTCGGACTGCCAGTCACCTTGTCAGCCGCTTGCTGGTCTTCGCTCGTAGTCTTCGTGCTGTCCCCCACTAAGATCATGTAACTCAACATCAATCCGCTCTGGTGGTCTTGTCAGTGGTTTCGACTTAGGGCGGAGGACCAGGTCTTACCTCGGTGTTGATAGCGTCGCACATTTGGGCGAAGACCTTCGCAACGATGCGGCTGACATAGAGCTCCTTAATCGCCTTCTGGAGCTCCTCCTTCTGCTCTTTCTCCGAGAAGTACTGCACAGATATAAGACGAATTTTTTCATAGATTGTGCTGGTATTACTCACGGTGTATACCAAGATGAATCCATCGGACAGTATGCCTACAATGGACAAGAAGCCGAGATAGCGGCTCGCGTTTGCAGCGTAGCCTGCGACTTGTTCGGTAGCTTCAGCCACGGATTCTGTATCCCAAGAGGCTGTGAGGTTTATCTCGTGGTGGGTGAGAACATGCTGACCTTCGACCCATCGAGCGGCGATTGCTGCTAGGTTAAAGGCCCGTAGGCCCGCCTCTACACCCTCCGTCACAAGGGTGACAAACGCGCGGGCGTACGCGCGCAAAACTTCCATCAGGCTCGCGGCGCGCAACAGGATAGCAGTTTTGATAGCTGCGGACGGTAAGTACAGCGTAGGGCGCGGACAGAAACCCTGACTAACACCCGGCGATGATACCTGACGACAGTGCAATCGTGGTGATAGCAACTGAGAGAACACGGGTAAGAACACCATCTGCAGAGTATACCACAAGAAACTCACTGATTGCGATTTTGTTATCCTTCTCCGCCTTGGCAGAGTTGTCAACAAGCTAAACGACGAGGATGAGGCCCATTGAAGAGGAAAAGTAATGGCAGCACGTACATCCTGATATTGCTTCTGTTGCTCGGGGGTCAACGCGGCTGCAAGTTTGTCTTGCAGCTCAGAGAAGCTGGCCATGCCATTCTTCTCGAGATACTCATTGATATAGGGCACCATACGGTCGTCTTGTTTATCCATGGCGTCCTTCAACTTGATCGCGCTCTTCTGAAGAGAGACGATGTCGTCTTGGAGCTGAAGGGCGCGGTCACGGCGAGAGACGTTGTCGGGGAAGAAGACTGCAAACTGTTGAGTCGGCGATAAAAATCACCAAGTAATTCACGACGAACCCATGATTGTAGAATCAAAAGAAGCTGTTGACGCGATGCTTGTCGAGAAAGATGGCTTCCAATGCTGAACAATATCCAATTTATATCATGAGCATGTACAACGGCGCCACCTTATTCTATGGCTTTTGACACATAAAACACCACTGCCGCGAACGGTCGGAATGGTGGGCAAACGATACCGTCGGTCGGTGGAACATTTAGTGGCTGAGCGGGTTTTTGCCAGATCCAGTTGTGCGCGGTCCCTGTGGAACTTTACCCCAGTTCGATGTTAGTACAACTTTGCATAGACGACGAGCTCCCGCATATCGGAAGTCGATTTCACCGAAGGCATCCCCTGGCCGGCCATAGTAACCGCAGAGAATGTCGTCGACCCTTCCACTACCAAGTACATAGAACTGCTTGCATCCCTTGGCCAGACCGCCATCGGCGCACCCATAGTAAGTAGACGATGTATCCACCATTCCGAAGACAGCGGCGAGTCAATCAAGTCAATCCTGCCGTCGTGGTTCAAAAGCGATCATGAGCTAAACAGATACGTTGAATCCATCTATCGTTTTGAAACGAAGCCTTCAATTAGAGTGTCGAAAGGAGTGGATGCACTTCTTGAACGTTGTTGGTCTTGGAGTCTGAGGCGCAAACGAGAAATTTCAGGATGTTTGCGTCGAACAGGGGAATTTTCAGGAATGTTGAACGAATAAAATAATGTAGAGAGAATAACTTGAAGTAGACAATACCGGTATTGCGACGAACCTCATCGGGGCAAGCCGATGGCACAAGCCGCATGGCTTCTAAGCGTTGGGTGGCTGTGTAGGCAGCACTTGCTCAATTACCAAGTCACGTCCCCGCCCCTTGAAATCGACGTCGGCGCTGGTATGGCAGAGTGGACGGACTCGTCTCTCCCAGATGCAACTCAACTCCCGAGAACAGCTCCCAATCTGCCGGGGCAACCAACCCAGTTTCCTCAGACTACTTTCCTTTTTGCATATTCCGCTCAACACGGCTTCGTCAAATGATCACAATCAACCATTCCACGGTTGTCTATGACCGCTACGGTGTATAGGATGTACTCCCCTCGCTCGAGGCAGGGTTCGCTGGCCATCAGATTAGTATCGCGGTCCCTTCGCACTTCAACTGTGAGTGATTTGCAAGCCAATCCACCGCCATGTCTCATTACGCCTAGAGAGACGTAGTTGATGGCGAACAGGAACTACGAGGAAAGAATCAACCGGCATCCACATGATCGACGTGCCTGTTAGGCACGATAACCCACCCGTTCTTCTGCCGTTCCTCTCGCCGTTTGGCTCTGCCAATAGCGCAAGGTGTCGTGACACTCAAGACTCTCTTTGACCAGAACCGTCTGTTCATCAGTATCACCAGAGGTCGATCCGAAGAGCTTGGGTGACTAGTCCTATCACCTAGTTATGTCCTACGGGAACTTCTTCCCACGTTCTTCGCAGCTTGTGTGTACAGGCTCCCCCACGGCTCGTGGGGGTGAACCTTCCGCTCCAAGATCTCAACAGTGACCGGTCAGATAATCTACCTGAGTTGATGGATCATTCAAACCGATAATAGGACTTGACACGCAGTGGCCTCTCGCCTTTGCGATGCCAGTATACACGGAATCCAGACAATAATAACTCCAGAAAACTATAAGTACGTACCTTCTTCTCTCACTTCTGAATCGCAGCTCACTCATGTACGACCCAATCAAGACCAGCTTGGGTGCCCTCCACATCTCGTCAGGCATATCCGCCTTCTTTCTGGGCTGTCTCGTCCTCCAAGCCTATCGATACTTCTCGGACTACCCACGCGATTCGAAATGGATCAAGTCTTTGGTGAGGCTTCTTCTCCCTTCTCACGACTGGAAGGCTTGTACCCACTTGCACCCTTACGCCGCTCTCTTGAGATTGCCCTCATGTTGTACGTCTTCAGAGCCTCAGAAATTACGACAAGCTTGGTTGACGTTCCCTAGGCTGTCGGAACTCGCTCTCCATATGACCATCACGGAAGTTAGCTATATAATGACGATCATTCACGCCGGCGACCCATTCGTCTTCTTACACATCTCATCATCGCAATTGGCCCCCCCTCTATTTCTCAGCGTATTGGCGATACCCATGAACGAGGTAAACAGCCGAAGTAACCACAACTCCTCACTCAACATATCCCACCCAGATCTTCTACTATTGGAGAATCTATCGGCTGGTGCGTAGGAAATGGCCATGCATTATCGCCACCGTACTCTCCTGCTGTCGCACCTGCGGGTGGATCTACTATTTATCCAGAGTCACCCAATTGGGCCTGCTAGCACTGATAACGGACACAAGCCTGCGCTGGCTCGTTATTTTGCTGTTCGCCTTCACTTTCTTCCTAAACTCATCCATCGTACTCGTTATGACTGTGTATTTGTCCCGACATCGCAATACCCCAATTATGGCGTACGTAATGCCTACATTTACTGCGAAAGTGGACGCGTACTCATCTCTTTGGATAGAACCAGGAAGCTGGTCCAACGGCTCATTATGTGGACGGTGTGTACGTACCTTTTGATACGACCGAGCATAGATACATACTAATAAAAATCCAGCCACCAGTATGATCGCAATGTACGGCATCTCCTCCCGTCTTTCAGAAACCGGGCATTGCTTATTGCCTTCCCTAGGATCCCGCAGATGCTTTCCTTCATTCTGGTTCGTGTTCCCCCTCGAAACTTGACGTATCGGCTGACCTTTGGATCGCATAGTTCATAACGATGAAAGAATCGTGTACGTTGACCCGTTGACCAGACCAGACGGACTTGTGAACAGTACCCAGTGATTTGGATGTGTATTGTACCGGTCTACACAAAAGGTAAAATGTCGAACCTCTATCTCGACGTCTTTAAATTCACCGCTGCTGTCAGTTTTTGCAAACTGCCTGTTATCGACGTACGTTTATTCATCACTGCTACAGAGGCGATGCCCGCTCACCTTGTGCGTAAGGCTGAATAGTCGGCCTGTAACCACGGATGGCGAGGGCGACCGTATGGACCGTATGTCTCCGAAAGCAGGTGAAAAAGAGATCGATTCCCTGACCTCGGTGAGCCCCCCTCAATTTGTGTACAGGCAGCAGTGTGATAACGCTCTCGAAACGGTCTTAGGCCACCCCACCTCGTTTCGCGGCTGTTTCGGTCGGACCTGCGTTTGCCACTCCCTCGACCTTATCGGGATACGATGCCTCTTCGTACACACAAGTGAGTTCTAGTTTTATGCGTGTGTAAGCAGCGCACGCTTAGACCGTACAAATCCGCTCCAGACTTGAGTTGATTTTGATGCTGGGAGTTGATACATGACGCTATATCGGTGACGGCGCACTGCATCGTAGACTGACCTACATACACCAGTGTGTGAAGAACGAATGGAATGGGTCACCCGAGGCTGTTTTAACACAGAGAGAATACACGATGGTTCACCGCCACGTAACAGCAACCCTTTGTTTGGGGTCATGCTGTATCGGAGGAAACCTCAGCCAGCAAAGCCTTCTTCCAACACCTCACAGCCATGATCCCAATTGTCTAGCCATGCCAAAGCATGTTTCCGTGAGGTCATTCCATCGAACTAAAGCCGGCAAAGAACGACCCAGGAACGACCTCGATACCAACGCAAGAACATATACCCATCATACGTGTCTTTTTAATCCGTTGGTCCACCCACTCCGGAGCGGGGACTCGCTCGAAGAGGCTCATCCCCCACGTATACAGCGAATCGACGTCTGAGTCGTTGCCTTCGACCTGCTCGGGGTCGTACTACGATAACGCTTGCAGACGAGGTTCCTGAGGCAAGGAAGCATCATGCGGGTCGCCACGAAAAGTGAGACCATCTTCACGCCATTCTTGACTTTCGCATTCCGAGGACTCTGCTATAAGTATACTTGTTATATGTGCATCAAATTCATTACTGCTTCGAGTGTTGATATATTGATAGTTACCTCAGGGTATCTACGAGCGCAAAGAATGGAGGCATAGTAGCTGGGAGAGATGTCCCCCATCTTGATGTAAAGATCTCTTATCGTCCGTACGCTGCCTCATCACCATGATAGGTACTCATCATGTTCAAACATATTACCCTCGTGTTCCAGACTCTGCTAATTCTCTTTATGCTGAATTGCTGGAATGAGTAGAAGATATTGACATTAAAGAGTGTGACGTGGGATTACAGGTAGAGTAAGGGCAACGAGTGAGAGCAGATGGTCTGTATTGAGCACGAGAAGCAACAACAGGTATTAGAAGGGGAAGCACGAAGAGATGAAAGGAACGAAATGACGGCTATATATAAAGGCTTTTGGCGCTTCAAACCTTCGGGTGAATCAATGAAACCCCTCTTGTAGTGCTGTTCCAACGCGAACTTGATTGACAACTTTGACCCCGGTTGTAATGCCGCCACCAGCAATGAACGCCAAGTCCTCTTCCTCAACGCTGAGAAGGGATCCCGTCTCGCTTGAGGTGGAACGCTCCATTTGGTGGACGGACATCGGTTGAGAGCGTATGGTAGCTATTGAGATTCACGTTGAGATCAGATTCTAGGGTTACTGATCCTGAATAAGACTCACTCGTAGTTGCTTCGAGGTATCCATTACCATTGCCAATGACGCTCTTGCCTGTCTTATATTCGGCGGAGATGTTGCTCAAGGAACGTCGGCCATATTGCATGAGTTCGGAGCCAATAACCGACTGCACGCCGCCGTAAGTCTGGCGAAGCTGGAAAATCAAGTCGCCGGTTCTCGTGAACACGGGGCTGGCTAGAGTGTACGTCCCCAAGCCGGCAGAACCCCACCTCCAGCTACCCTCGAGCAACTGGCGCAGATCGGAGAGGGCACTCTCGACGTCGATGATTTTCGGGAGGTGTTGCTTCAGCGCGGTGTCAGTGTTGAAGGACGTCCACATTTCTTCGGACTCGGAGTGTTCGAAGTACGGTGCTACAGGCTCTGAGAGTGTCACGCGAAGGCCAGTCGAGTCGGTCTTGATGACGATAGTAGCAGACCAGTTTGCCTTTGTCTCCTTACTGTGAACAGCCTGTTAAATCTTGTCTTTGGAGCAAAAGCGACACTCACGTTCGCTGCTTCTTGATGTCTTTGACCCTCAGGATAGACTGACCCTTAAGCTTGATCTCCATTAAGGCGGAGTGGAATGTCGTTGGAAGAACGAGCTGGTTCTTTGTGTGGCCTACAATCAGAGGTGACTGTGAGCGATAGCAGGTTGCGGGGCGTTGGAAGATGACTTACAAAGTACGGAGAACCCATCAGTTGTTTCCTGAGTCCCGGAGTGCTCATACTTCCATTCATCACGATGCTCCCAGCCGTATTCAAGCCAATCCGCATTCCCTTCCAGCAAGGTCCAGTTGCACGACTTTTCCTTGCGGTAGCGGTGTTGATCCCAGGTCGTAAGGTAAACCTTCCATTCCTCCTCATCCTCTTCGGGGAAGCGCGGGACGACAGTGGTCCTTGCGTTAATGCGAGCGAGCGAAGGTAACAAACGGCTCTCAAGGAAAACTTCTTTGGAGATGCACAGCGAACCGTGCGAACGGGGGAAGACCCAACCGAAGCCCCATGGAATGTGCCTGTCCGGCATCCTGCGCCCACCAGTCATACCGAAGACGACGAGGACAGGGGAAGTGTGCCGTTGGACACAATTCGCAACAGTGACCGTTTCTTTGGAAATAACACGGAAAGTTGCGTCCGTCAAGCCAAATACTTCCTGACCTGGGAAGATCGGGATCGAGTGGATAACGTTGTGACCGTAGTATGCGAGTTCTTTGAGGTAGCCACTCATGAAGTGGAGGATACTGTCAAGCCGGGCAACAGCACTGCGGGGATCAGAGTCCCACATGCCGGGCATCAACGACTGTTTTCCAACGTATACGGCATCTACATATAGCGGTGAGAAATCGACAGAACGACAGCCTGGAATAGCTTACTTTCAAAGTCTAGTATGATATGCTTCACGGTTTGCACGTTGGGGATTTGGTGGATGTACGACCTGCCGTATCTTTCTCTGGCTACGTCGACCCAGGTGATGGATTTATGCTCGACCATCTTGATGCGAGTCTCGTAGGCAATGGACCACGTGTCGAACTCGTAAGTGCCTCGTCCACTATGGGGGTAACTTATTAGCTTCATAATAGCATGGAGACGCAACAGAGCACTCACTTCTTCAGGGTCATAGACCCGGAATCGATGTTGAAGATAACCAGCGCGTTTCCGTTGGATAACAATCTGATCTTGATAGGACGGAATTCTGCGTTCAAGTTCCCAGAAGTGTGTCTCCACTTGACGAGGCATTCATTGCTAAACGTTGTGTACATCGAGCTGAACATCGCGTTGATGCTTTCTTCGGAGATAGCGAGCAGGTGGTCGAAGCTGTATAAACTGAACTTGCGGACGATCTCGCTCCAAACAATCGACGTAGAGCGCTTTGAGCTGACGCCGCCAGAGGCCTCGACAACAGTCTTCCACTCGCCTTCATCTTCGCTAATGCCGCTGAACTCGACTTCTTCGGTGAATCCGCCTTGGGGAGAGAAGATAACGTGGTATTTGTACTGAACAAGGAGGGTGAGGTATTCCTCCGAAATAAACTTGATGATTTGCTGGAAGAACGTCACTTCGCCGGTGAAGTCGAACGTGGAATAATGTTCGCAGAATCGGGCACCTAAGAACTGGTGAGTACGACAAACCCCTGAAGGAACCGATAATTGCGCACTTCCTAACTCAAGCTGGAGCAACGTGATGTCCTGGGTTTTATCTTGAACAACGTCGAGAACGAAGGCGAACTTCAAGTCCTTGAACGAATGCGTTACGGCGCTAAGGAGACGAGGTTAGTGACACGATTTGAAGCGTGATATAATTGGTGGGGGCCACCTGCTGAAGTCCGCGCTGCCGTAAAAATCGAGATCTGAAATGTTGATGTAGAAAACGACTTCCTTGGGACACAAGGCCCGGATGCTTGGAGGCATGAAAGTAATGTGGAAGTGGCTTTCAGCACTGGGGAGCGTGTTGCTTCTAACTTCGTAGATGCAGTTCGCTAATGGGTCGGGCGAGGGTCCACTGATGAAACCGCGAGAAACGACATCGAGCCAGGTCGTCCTCAGGTACTGGTTGATGGTATCGATATTGGTGCCAAATATCTCGATGTCCGCTTGCAACCCAGGGACATTGAAGGCCCGGCTCACAAGCGAGTAGTCGATGTGCTGTCTATGTGTGTCGTTGTCGAAGTCTGGAAGGTCGAAAAGCACATGGTGGCCAGCGTTCTGGAGGAACTGGAGGTATTTCTTCAAGTAGAAGTTGAGAACCTCCCTCTTGGTGCGGTCGAGGTCGTTGGTGCTGAATAACACCGCCTGAGCACCTATAACGCAGACGTCAACACGAGTCCCCATTTAGAAGGGCTGGCCTACTTTTCAAGTCCATTGTGAGCAGTTGGATGCGACGGCCATCCCCGTTACCCACTGCGGTGTCTCTACCTTCGATGATACGACGCGTAAAGGGGATGCGGTAGGCTACCTCAAGACCGCCCAAGGGGATGTTGTCCTTCCTATTGAGTCGTGAGTTCGAAACAAGCTACGAGTGCAGTGAAAAGCGTACGGGTAAGGTTTGAAGTTGGCAATGTTAGCTCTGCTTGGGTACGCGTGATTCAAATGGCCCGACTTGAGCCTCAGATAGAGGACGACCTCGTGGTTACAAACGAACTCCAACCTAGGTTCGTCGAAGGACCCATAGAAAAATAAGGAGTCCTTGCTGATACCGCCCTTCGGGACTCGCCTGCCGCCGTAGTGCCATTGAGCGAGGCCGCGTTTGTACTTGTGTTTGTCGTACTCCTCAGAGCGCAAGTCGATGATCGCACTTTCGTGCTCGGTTTCAACGCACTCGACAGCGTTCTGCCACATAGCAGAGAGCTGCGCGCTGAGGTAGCGAGCCGAAAGAGTTGCACTGTTGTCATTGAGGCACATGGTGGTTGAGTTCTGCTGCAAATTGCTGGGTTGTCTGAGGGTTGCTTGACTGGCCCTGGTCAGCTTTTATACAGTGACATTAATTCCAAAAAAAAATGAGCACTTACAACGTTAAAATTCTCAGGAATCGGGGAAGTTTTCCACCGGGATAGAGACAGAGTCGGAAATAACGCGCTTCTCTTGTGCTAATATAGGACATAGATGAATACGCCACATCACCCTTTGACGTGTGCGGATTCTAGCAACGGGCTGTTAGTTCAATAGCAACCAAAGCAAAAGGGCTGACCTGGATAGACAATTTTGCTGAGGAGATTCTGAAATGGCGTCGAGCTCGGTGGCCTTCATGGCGAGCGAGCAGACAGCAACTCAGGCGTAGGAACGACTCGACCACAGGGAAGCGAAAACGCCGGGAATAGCTTTCGGCCTGAAGCGAATCATGAGGCTCAGAAGCAGAGGCCATAAGACCAACATAACGGCAACATGCCTGATTGACTTGGATCAGCCGTACCCGTTGGCGATTGGTCAATGCCCCAAAGCACAGCCTTTCCCCACTGCTTCTTCGCCGAGGTCGTGCACATCTGGGGTCCAGATCCAAATCGTCATAGAAGGTTTTAGGGCTGGTTAAGCCATTGAGGTAAATTGGGCGGTCGGTTGATCATACTTTTTCTGCGACATTCGTTAAGCTGTAGGAATGGATACACGCGAGGTTTCGTACCTCGGAACAGTGGATACTCATGGTCACGCAGTTCAGGCATCCCAGCGGCGCCGATTTGTTGCCTAGCTTGACATCTGAGAGAGAGGACTGATGGGCAGGGAGCGCGGATGTCGACAGTCGGTCGTAGAGATGGAGCGACTCGGACCAGGTGGTCCAATGGAGCCCGACAGATGGACTTCATCCGTGTCAAGTAGACCCACTTTAACAGTTCTGGTCGCGCCCAGTCGCCATCAGCTAGGGACAGGCTTCCATACTGTCCACAAAAGGGTACATGTTTTGGGGAGAAGGCGAAGATTGCGATAGGATACGTGCATATCAATTGAACTCTACGGGGGCGAAGGGACTTTGCGGATTGCGGAATGGGTCTAGCATCTGATGTGATCGTAAAGGTAGCTGGATGCAAGGCTCGCATTATTTTCAGTCCATGATAGCTCCGTGAATCTGGCTTACTTTGTATTGCGAGACTCTTTCATACCCTTTCCGTTTTATCTCCTGTTCCGATTGAATATCATCAAGTCGTTGCGATTAACATGAATGATCCAGGTAAATTATACAGCGTGATCCTGTTGTGGCCCCGATTCGAGTCGCTGCGAAACGGGCCCGCTGCAAACAAAAGGGAAATCGCCGGTCTTCTACCTCCACATCGTGTATCGACGGGAAAACGCTTCCTAAACACGGTTATATTGTGAGGTTGTGTGCCACGAACGGACAACTCACCACATATCACGCTCCCTTGTCCAGTGGCCGTCAATGAGGTTTGAATTCATTCTTCTCACTCTCTACACCCTTCTTTGTGCCCTGGAAATGGTGCCCTCCTTCAAGAAACATCGAACAACAACGAAGACGGCGGACCGAGAACGCGGGAGTGCTATCATGACCTTCCCTAGTCTTTGGAAATAAAGTGGCCATGATCAACCCTCACATTACTTCACTCGAGCTTCAGCGCTATATCAGTGCCATCTCAGGCGTGCCGTTGAGAGGTGATGAGGGGTAAGGCGTAGTTGTTGATGACAAGACGCGAAGGCGATGAGCGCAGGAAAACGTGGCGGCGTTCGAAATTGCGCGCTTTCCTGTAGAAAGATACTCCGCGAGCAAGTCCAGCGGCGATGTACCAGGATGTACGTACCCTGGCAGGATACACGGCTGAGAGAAATGGCCATCCTTATCTCCTGTCAATCATCGTCTCGCTGAGTATTGCGTAGCAACAGATCGTGGACATCTCTCGCAACCCGTCGACGTCCTTTGGATGTTTTCACGCATTGTCTCTATATCTAAGAAAGGTTTTACACACGGCGGGACAAAAGGACTTCCATGATTTTCAACGTGCCTACACTCTTGGTTTGACACGAGAAGCATGGTCGTGTATTTTTACGGTCGGCGAGCTCAGCGCGCCGACGTCTTCATTCAGAGGTGTTCTGATTTTCCAGACATTCCGAATCAAGTATAAAGTTTGTTTTCAACAATGATATTTTTGTCCGCACCATCGCCTCCAAGATTAGATCTTCAGCGTGACCAACTCCGTATCACTTCAACGGCCACTCAAACCTACGCAAGCCTTGAGACCTTGAGAAACAAACTCATAACATCATACGGAGTCTGATCCAGCGTCGCATCGCAAGGGTGCAGTAGCGACAGTTTCTGAGATGATGTAGGGTTGGCACCCTGTTTGAGCCTTGATTCATGGTTTATTGTACGTATACTATCGCTTCGTTTACTTCTTGTTTCGGTCCGTCATCAGCTGCGGCCGCATTCTATGTTAGGTACTAGATTACTTACTTACACATGCGCATTCTGCATGTCTAGTTACATGTAGTACAAGTATATATAGTACCTACATATCTACCTACAATAATAACAAGAAGAAGTTTCCCCTTCCCTCCGTTGCGTTGCGAAAGTCGAGTCCAGCAGTCGCACGCGGCGCTGCTTGGTCGCGTTTCCGTCTTCCGTTCCGTTCGCCACGTGGTGTTCGGTTTCACTTTCCTTCTCACTTCGCTTTTGGTGGGAACACCACCCATTCCCAGTCCTCGCATTCACACCAGCGAATACGACTTCGCACCTACAATTTTGGAGCCCACCGCGAGGGACCCAAAAGCTGAAGCTTTCGTTCTTTTTAGGTAATTCTTTTAGGTCATCAACTCCGCACGACTCTGCGACACGCGCCCACGACTCCAGCCAGCCGCCAGATTATCCCCGACTCCGTCACGAACACGTACAAGCGTCGCACCACCATTCTCATTCGGATCTCAGCACCACACGAAGATAATCATTGCCCCATCCTCGATCAGTTCATTATCCCCGGAGTTACCCCACCACGTCGATCGATCACGTTTCCAACCAGCATCACGATTAGCGTTTACGTTCTCGCGCCTACGCGCCTCATGATCTCAGCATGTCCACTTTCTATATGCCAGAACCAGGCCAGCGCCACGCCCCATCATTCAGCGGCGACCCCGGATCATTAGAGAGGTTTTTCGACGAGTTCGAGCTCTACGCAGTCACAGCTAATCTCGACGGCTCAACAAAGGTAATATATTCACGCAGGTATCTCGATGACAACGATGATTATAGAACATGGTCCCGAATTGCGAAGATTCATCCGAACGATTGGAAAGCATTCAAGAATGCGATATACGACGAGTACCCAGGATCGCGCATCAGCGAGTTCACCAGTCTATCTGAGCTCGAAGAACTCATCACTCAGTACCGGAATCAGATCACGACAGCGGCTCAACTAGGAAAGTATCGACGACGGTTTACTGACATATGCAAAACGTTACAGGAAACTAGCACGCTTAGCGAATGCGAAGTGATCCAGCAGTTCCTTAGCGCGTTCCCCGATGACATACAGGCCACCATCGACCCTATCCTCCATATCTTAGCACCAGAGAAGCCGCGGCATGAAGAATACGACCTTAACGACATATATCGCGCGGTCCTACATACCTACAACGGCAGATCGACGCTCTCGACTCAGGATAACAGGATTACGGCACCAGCATCAGCGGAAGAAATCCAGTGCGACATCAGCATCACGAACTCGCCAGTCCCAGCAGCAACCTCGGCAGCCCAGAGTCCGATGAATACGCGCCCAACGAAATCAGCCTCGACGACAGCAGACACGGCGACAGAAAAGCAGACACGCAATCTAGGATCGCACCCAGCAGTCAACAGCCAGGATCCAGGAACGACACAGCCAACGACTATCACAACTCGGCTATCGACCATCCCAGAACCACACGAACAGCTCGAAGCGATCCCCTCAGTCAACTCCTGCGCAGCTCAAGACAGATCACCACCACGGCCAGTACCTTCTGACAAGAACCACAGCGACAACGAAGCGACTATGGAATCAAATTGCGAACTCGACACCGACAACTTGCCACTACCAGCGCCTGAACCTCCAGACAGCGAAGACAAGAGTAACGACAATGAAACAGCTATACCGGTACCCCACAAACTCGACGGCACACTATCACTTCCACGAACCATTTCTGCGCCTCACACCACCACAGCAGTAGCACGGCGAAATGAAGCGCTAGAAATTCGACACGAAGTCTATCGACAACGCCACAGAGAAGGAATCGGCACGCAGAACGAAGAACTCGGCCCTAGCATTTCGCAAGGAGATCGACGGCAACGGCATCAACTCTCAAGTCTACGGCTAGCTCGACCACACGCCAGACGGTACTCAAGACGACGGCAACGGCTACGCAAGCGGCGTCCCCCCGAACGAACTCATTCAGGGTACCACTACGACAGCTAACGACTCGCTGCCACCCACGCAACTCGAACCGCCACCAGGTTAACGGAAACTCGCTTACGACACTCCCTCTACGTATACGCCACCACCACCATCCTCTCCCCACGTTCGCTTCACCTTCCCCATCGTTATCACCATCCCCGCCGCCTCGAAACAATAATCTACGGACATGTACGCTATCTACCGAGGATTCAACAAACCGGCGTACGCAAGATAGATAAAAGAAATTGATCACGGCAGCTGAAGCCCAACGATAAACGACAATGACAACAGTAAATTACCAAGTACATATGCGCCTCCTTTCGTTTCCATCCACTCCACCACACAATCCATCATTCCCCAAACCGCACCGCCTCTTCCCCTTCATTTCGCTTCGTACTTAGTTATTTCCGTATCCCCGTCTCGTTCTCGTTCGCATCAATCACACCTCACTACCCACGAAATAAAGCAACAAAAACATCATATTCTACGTATATTAGATATAGTTTTCGTTCCATTCCATTTCGTTCGTACTAGATCAAGCTTCTTTTAGTCCCTTCACTTCGTACGCTACAGTTCTCGTCCCCGCCTCTCCTCCACTACCCGCGCGCCACATCTCTCTCAACGACGCACCGATTCCAGTACACGAGCACGCCGACAACGCCGGTTCATTCGAAAACATGGTCAAGCGTGACTTTCAAGAATTTGGAGCAACATTTGTTCGAAGCAAGCCACTCTGGCTCAAGCATCGACATCGAACACCCCTGTTCCCCCTCCTCATATGTCGACCACCACCGTCTTCGTCTCACCGTCACTGCGCCATCTTTCATCGACAGAACCACTTGCGAACCCCCCCTATCGAGCCCCTTACCGCCGTACGACCATCTACCAGGACACCACCACGTACCACAGCCGTCGAAAAACGTAGACGCCGCCACAGTACACGTCCAACGTCAACGTCTCCCACCCCGTCCCACCCCATAATCACTCACCATTGCGCACCATCGACGACATCCATTGCCACCATCTCGCGCCGCATCACCAAGTGATCACAACGGACACACCAACGGGTAGACAAAGCAGGCGAACTCGATAAGCTCACCCCACGCTCAGTTCTGCGCAGGCATCATTGCTGCGAACACGCTGTACAGGATTTCTTATTGCAGTCTGATTGGATGTTGACCACGGAGGGTCAACTTTTAAAGGTCCCCCGGAGATGTAGGGTTGGCACCCTGTTCGAGCCTTGATTCATGGTTTATTGTATGTATACTATCGCTTCGTTTACTTCTTGTTTCGGTCCGTCATCAGCTGCGGCCGCATTCTATGTTAGGTACTAGATTACTTACTTACACATGCGCATTCTGCATGTCTAGTTACATGTAGTACAAGTATATATAGTACCTACATATCTACCTACAATAATAACAAGAAGAAGTTTCCCCTTCCCTCCGTTGCGTTGCGAAAGTCGAGTCCAGCAGTCGCACGCGGCGCTGCTTGGTCGCGTTTCCGTCTTCCGTTCCGTTCGCCACGTGGTGTTCGGTTTCACTTTCCTTCTCACTTCGCTTTTGGTGGGAACACCACCCATTCCCAGTCCTCGCATTCACACCAGCGAATACGACTTCGCACCTACAATGAGTTTTTCTCCCATTTACCGGCATCAGCTGATCGCTTCGAATCTACCCAGCAAACGTTCGTCCTAGATAGTTAAATGAAGACTCCCCATGACCCGGAAGACATTTTACGGCGTGGCGTTATTACAGACGTATCCTGCGTGTCACCAAGTCGGGCAATAGGTGGACATCATGTTGATCAATGTTCCTCATCTTCGATGAGCCGAGCAAGGCTATCCGAAGTCAATTCACTGCGTCTAGCGTGGGTCTCTTTGCAAGGCTTTATCTCCGGCATTGTGATTTCACGGTTCTGATATTTGAACTCTAAACTACGGAGAGAGTTGATGGTGATGGTACATCGTGTGATACGGTGACGATGGCATACCGATGTCTGTATAAAGTGAGGTTACTGGGCACAGTGCTCAAGCATCCAGCAGTCATCCTCGAGAACATCCAACGTCTCCAGTATACCACACAATGTGCCAGCCAGCCAGCGTAGCTCCCGCGTGTTGCCCAGCAACGGTCATCCCCGCCCCACCGGCATCGGTTCTTATCCGCGTACCCGCTAGCAAGCTGGAAGACTTCCCACTCGCTAAGCCCGCTTCGGCTACGCGCATCACAACCGCGACATACCACGCAGATCCCCTCCCAGGCATCTCCAAAACCCCCTACGCCTACAGCTACCACGGCGCGTCTTGGAGAGTTGTCATCCCCATCCAAGTCCCCACCGACATCCTTAAGCCCACCCTCTCGTCTCTCCGTTACATGGTGAAATACGGCACCACGTTTGATGACGGAAACTCGACGGTCCAGGCAGATCTCGTCCTCAGCACTGTGAGCGTTGAGGGAGGAGTCACCCTTGCAGGAGACGATGCCAGTGGGCTGAAGGGTCTCTACCTACCTGCGAAGAGCGGGTATGCCCCACACATCGTTGACGAGAACACCGGGGTTTCCCTTCTCACCGTTTCATCCGTCAAGTGCAACGGCGGGGGAGCTCAGTGGAGCCACTTCATCGACAGCCACCAGCTATACCCTAACATCCGCCTAGCTAATCCCGGCAGTCATCTCTACTTGGTCTTCAACGTCGCCGAATACCCCACGAAGGATACGGAGAGGTTCTTGGCCGCTGAAGTCGCAGCGTCGTGGTACGAGGATGTAGAAGCTAGGAAGGCTCAGGACGAGGCTGACCGGAAGGCCAAGGAGGAGGCTGTGAGGAAGGCCAAAGAGGAGGCGGACAGGATCGCTCGCGAGGAAGCCGCGAAAGCCAAGAAGGCCGAGGAAGAACTGCAAAAGAAAATCAGCGACGAAGTGGCTGGACGCGTCGCTGAAGCCGAGAAAAGCATCCAGGCAGAAGTCGATAAGCGCGTCGCCGACGTAGAGAGCAAATTACGAGCGGAAGCTCAGAAGGCCTCTTCCGTCAGTAAGGCAAACGCCCCTCACGTTGCCGACGACGCAATGCAGGACAAGATCCAGGCTGCGGCGAAGAAGCATAACGCGGTGTGCCCTCAGGGCTATGGATGGGTGAAAAGCGAGCACGGTTATGTTTGCGGCGGGGGAGGCCACAAGCTCACTTGGGAGCAGCTCGGGATGTAATACAGGTGCTCGCGCACTTTGGTTGCTTCCTACTCTCGCAATTCGGACATTGTTACTTACGCTTAATTTACCCTGAATATCATTGGGTTTGAGTGCATCTGTCGTCACGTTGAATGCTGGATCATGGGCATGTCGTTAACGCCGTTTCGGATTGGGACGAAACTCCTCGTACTTTCAAAGAGCGTTAAATGCTGCCCGAAGCTTTCTGTCGGGGATCCCATGTGTCGCCGCGACATATATACTTGAGGTCGCGATCAGTTGACCGCCTACAGCCATTTTCGTGCGTTCCCGCTGCACCTCCCGCAGCCTAATCTGGCAAGTACCGATGGCAAATCGCATCAATAGATTGAGCAGACCGTCGAAAATAGTTACAAGATGGTGATGAGAGGCGGGTGCACAGTAGATGACCCGACTCGCCATCCGATTCGAGAGGAGATGCATATCGTTGTTGCCTTCGTAAATCAAGAAGTGCCCGTCAGGCAATTGCCGTTGATAGAGGCCCCGACGGTAGCGGTGAACGTCCCTGAAGGTACGACTCATGCGTGCTTTACAACATCCCGGGTACTGTAGGAGGCGGGGCGGTCAACATCACATATCAGGTCCAGAGTGACGGCACTCGCCTGGTATCCCTCTGACTCGCCGTAATCGCCACGCTCTTACTCTCGCCAACGGCCAGCGGAACCTCCTCGAAGCCCCGCAAGAATAACTTTCCCGCTCCTGCGGGTAAGGCTAGGTACAACTGCACTATTTCCGTCCCTACAACATCACCGGTGTTTTTGACGGTGAATGTGACGGTTTTAGAACCGGAGGGGATGGATAATGGGCCAGAGGCGAAGGTCGTGTACGACAGCCCAAAGCCGAATTCAAAGCGGGGCATGATATTGTTGGCGTCCATATATCTGTAGCCGGAGGAGCTTCTCCGCATAGTTGATCTATGTGAGAGAAGTATGAGAGAACTTCACGCAGAGGTATAGAATCGACTCACCTCCGGGAAGCCCGTCAAGCTGTGTACACGATCGAGGTCCCGAAGTCCGATTCTTTCTATACATCCGATTCCGTTAGTTATGGCCTCTGCAAGAATGGCGAGTGGAGCACGTACGTCTGAGGTACTGAACGGCAGCCTCCCGCGAGGATTGTACTTCAACTGGGGACGGGCCCGTGATTTCGCCTGGTGCACCTGCGTAGACAATGGCGATGATGTTTGGGTGCGAGCTCCACGGCATGCAGACGGGACCAACGGGAAGGATCACCGAGATTGTGTTGTTGCAGACTGCCGCCACGCGCTCAATCTACCAAAGCGCAAGTGATGTGATCAGGGGAGATAAACAGGGGCCTGGCAAAGGAGAAAACATACCAAACTCCCACTTTTGAACCAAAGATCGAGGTCGTTTCGATCTCCCATGTTCCCGACGACGATCCTGTCGAAGCCTCGCTCGCCACACATCCTAGAGACGACGGGATTGATCAGCTTGGAAAGCCGAAGTCAAGGAAGACGAAAGAAAGGACGTACGCATCTTTATCCCTCACAGCATTCACCCCTGCGTTGAGATCATTCGACTGCAATGCCGTCAGTAGCATCCGCATTCTCCAACGGCAGGGCATCTACTGGTGGTATAATGGACTCTAACGAGTTCGATCTCGAGCCCGCCCACGGACAATCATTGCACTCACTCAGGCCGCTGCAATTGAGGTTCGGCATCTTGGCTTCCTGGCCGAGATGCGGGTTGCTGGAGCTCGACTGGGTAATGGTATAGTTCTTCGGGCGGAATTCAAAGATAACTTTGTCGCCGACGGAAGCCTGGATATTGCTGGCGTGAAGACAAACTCGCCGTTAGCACCGGCAGTGATCTTGTGCTCTGCTGGTTGCGGGGCAGGGGTGGGCAGGGGCGTGCCATCGTAGCTCGTATATGTCATCGTCCAAACCGACTGACCGTGCGTGATAGTCGCGGTGGCAGTCTCCCACTTGGGCGCCGGAGGCGTGACGTACGTGTCCACAGACGAGGGAGCAGACGAGCTTGGAGCAACAGCAGACGACGCGCTCTCCATGCCGTTGGTAGCGATAGCAAGGTCGCGGAAAGCCTTGAACGATCGAGCTTCGCCTTCAGGCGCAGGGTTGATCACAAAGAGCATGCCTACGGATCACAATTAAGGTGAGCGAGCTATCCATCAACCTCCTCAGCGAGCTGACGCACCTTTGCCGCAGTGACCTGTCTGACCTCAGTAGAACCACCTGGGCGCGGTGTCTGCGGCGTGGAATTGGAAGTTCGGGAGCGGTCCGTTGGCGTATGGGACGGGACGGTTGAGATTCGTGATGGGTTGAGCATATTACTACGATCTTGAAGAGAGAGAACGTACAAGTCCGACCTTTCACCCCCCTCTAGACCTACACAGGGAGCTTCGAAAGACGATCGAGTTACCGTATGATTCTTGGGATGGCTGGAGGATATATTGAGTGCGATTCGGTCAGAGATGATCTGGTGTCTTGCTTACAAGATGAAGTTGACCACATCGCCTGGCGCTGCGTTAACATACGGGAAACGTACGCTAGCTCTCCTTCGGCACCGACAAAGAACTGATGAGGCATGTATTCGGCTAGCGCCTTTTATATGGTAACGAGTACACACTGTACCAATTTTGCGGTTGAGACATTTGCAACCCAGCGATGCACATGTCGGTGGTCCCGGGGGTAAGCGCGTCCTTGGGAGCGAAGCCGCTGAGGATTACTTCTTTCAGGCGCGCTGAAGACGAACCCCAGACAAATGGTATGGAAGCGGGCATGCAAGACATCTACTGCCTCCTCGTGCTTCCCGAGCGCTGCATTTTGCAGGGACTAGAGATCAAAAAGCCTAGGAATGTCATGCCCAGCTGTGTAGCACCACGAAATAGCAATGTGTCCCCGAGGTGTTCAAGTTTCATGAGACTTGGTTGTGGCGTGGTTGCAAAGATGCCTCATCCCAAATGGGAAGGTTGCGCCAGGGGCTAGTTTGTACGTCCAACATTCGGAACATGCTCAGGAGATCAGAGCAAACACATTGTGAATCGTGATGGTCTGTCTCTCATCCTTTACGCACCACACAGCCTAGCACAATGCCTTAGGTATCAAGAAACAGTTTATTTGACTTCCTGCGCCTGAGCCTAGTCCCTGGCCGCTCAAATAATTGATGCCTTGGTCTGTACGGAACATATTTGTGTTGCCATGACCTGACGTCCCTGCTCCCCGAAATAACGTCGACTCTCAAATGACCAGCTTTCAAAGCAGATCAGGATCATGAGACGACCTGAAACCACTGCCAACTCACTATATATTCCCAATACACCAAATCTCTAGCCCTTCTATGAAGCGGCGGACATCGTCATCGTGTTCATCACCGAACGAAGGCATGCTAGCCTTCGCAGCTTGGAATCGATCCCAAATCCTTCGGAATTCTGCGCCGGCGTAGTCGAATGCAGCTTGTATATCCATGCGCAATTGCACCATGTACACTGTGATCACATTGTAACCCCCTTGACCGTGTTCAATCTCTTTGAAGAACGAATAAATATCCTTGAATATGTCAATGTGAGTATGCGCGCACGGCAGATGGGGCGTAGCCCTGACATTACCCAACCATGCGAGGTCGACCGCTGCTTCGTACGCTACCAGAAACTCTGGGTCGCCGTATATCTTGTTGGGTAAATCAATGCCGAGTTCCAGCTCTATTAGGTCGTAGCACGCTTTCATGCAGCAGTTCTCTCGTCGCTGGATGATGAACAGCTCAAGCGCCGGTGTGACATGATTGTCGCGCAGCGTGGCTTGGGATGCGACTGTTTGCAAGTACGACTCCATATGCTTCATAAATCTTGCGTGAGCATTTGAAGAGGCCCGTAGTTTGTACCGCTTGGCGAAGCTAACACCAGACCTTTCATTAGCTCACCGTCGGAACGCGGAGATGCTGTCCTACTCAGCCACCGCTCTGGAGAAATTCGAGGAGGAGGGCATTGAAGGGTCGCGCAATGAACCAAGAAATACATCACAGGTCATCTGAGCATTGCGCGCACCCTGCGTATCTGTTAAATCATCGGCGGCCATGAGGAGATTAAAGAAATCGCAGGCGGTCTTGAGCTCGTCTTTGCCGGCGTGTGGGTGTGCAACACTGGCCAGCAGCTCCCCGTCCCAGGATTCCTGATTCTGCAGAGACATGAACCCATGCTCTAGTATCCAGAGGGTAGAGCGCTCCTTGAGCCAACGATAACGCTGGTTTATAAAGATTGGCAATGGACAGTAGCCCATGAGATTAGGTAGCCGTATCTCGAGTGCTGGTGTCGCTATTCCACTGGGAGGCATGATGGGGGAGGGGCGGGTTGGGGTGGCTTCGGTGCCTCGAGCGTACCTACATATCATTCCAACGGGCATATGGCAACATCAGAGACTCAACAGCACGTAGAACTATGATGGGAATGCCATGATACCTCATGGTGTATTCAATGGCAACATGGTGGACTTCATGTGCGATCGAAACGAATGGAAGTGGCAAACGACCTGAAATGTAGACTCAATATTGAGTCCATCCATTTGGACACAAGGAGAATAAGTTCATATAGGCGGATGGCGTAGAAGTGTAGAGTGAACGAAGACAGTATCTATGACCTAAATCAAACCTTAGCGGTCCGAAGTTTCTCGACGAGTTTTTCAGGTATGTCACTCACCACATGGAACCTGAGTTCCCAGTTGTTCGTTCCTTATCGTGTTGCCGAGTAGGGAACACTTGTTTGCATTATGGACAACTGCTGAACCAGTGTAGTCATTGCTGAGGGGAAAGCGCTAGTACATGGACTTGTAATGGAGACTGAATTCACCGGGAAAAGACTATCCGACAACACTCACAGAAGAAGATTAGTCTTGCGAACAATATCCCGCTGATTGTACCTGTGAGTATCGTAATTCCAGCTAGATAAGAAAGTCAATGCCAGGACAGACACGAGGGCAGAGTTCGCGCTTACTGCAACATCCCCACGACCCAATCCATCAATCCATCCAAGAACCGCTGAGCATCGGCGTCTACATTGGCTCCAAACGATGGGATACAGTGCCTCGACGTTTCGAAGAGGAGAAGAGAGGAGAGTTGCTACACGACAATCACGTTTCATCGAAACTAGATGTCACGTTTGCGTGCTGATCGTGCACGGGCCGTTATTACCAGCTTGGTATAAAATGCGACGCAGTTGCGAAGGGCGCAGATCCCTTCTTGATCCCTTCGTCCTCTCCTCTCTCTGCCCCTTCCCTTCCTTCGCCCTCCCTCGCAGCGACTCGTTGCTTGCGCGGCATTCGTCGCCAGCCACCGCTTTAAAGCTTCATCAGGCCATCTCCCAGACATTCCCCGCTATCTGAACGAATCATGCCCGTTTCGTCTCACCCATCCCAGACTCTACTTTCACTACCTGCCCCCGTCGTTTTGCGCCATTTCTTATCCAAAGACGGGCCAAAGTAGATAATCGTAAGAGGTGCGTGGCGTAAGGTGCGTGGGTGGAAATATAACTGCTCGGTGTTCACCAAAAAAACTATGCATCACCCGTAATCCGGCAAGCATGTGAGACGAACTACGTAAGTAACGGGAACATTTAGTACATGACGCAACGACATACCTCCCAATCGAATTCTCCATCCCACCGCTAATCCATTCTTCCCCAAACTCGTTCAATTCCAACGAAAAACTCTGGCCACCTCAGTCTACCTGACAGCGCGACAATGTGCGTGAATATAAACCAAAGACAATGCTGCATGCTGCATTGATCAGCAGTGTTCACGGCCTGTCAATGAGCTACGGAGCATGGGTGGATATCCAGCAATCAGCTTGACCAGCTCCGCCCGTTATTGCGATGAGTCGATGTGCGTGAGGTATATTTTCCCCCTCTGAATATAGCCTGATCTTATTTCCTTGCTTTTACTGCGGAATAAGTCGAATTTAAAGAGACACATGTCAAAAGTATGTACACGACATTGATAGGTACGGTATGTCTTTGCTGCTTTAGCAGTCCTGGGTATATAGCCGTAATTGGCCTAACCGGATGACTAGCAGTGTGGTACAGGTGGCGTGGTAAGTACTACGTATAAGAAACGCCAGCGAATCATACCGCTGACTTATTGTGCCATATCTCCGAAGCATCCAGATGATGTTTCTCGAACGCCTCAGTCGACGCCAAATCCTCCGTAGACGTTGCAGTATGCAGCATTTCGGGCACCGGGCAGTGTGCACTCTGCCGTTGCCCGAAGTGGATGCTCGAGATGTCCCCAGCCGACCCTAGTTTCGGCTGCTGCCGCTGCTGCTGCACAGATGGGAGTGTGGAGCACTCTTGAGCGCGTGTCACGGTAGCGCCTGTCCATGCCTGTCCACGGTAGACTTGGATGATGATGAGTTGCGGGGCGACGCACTAGATAGATTCCATCGGTCAGTAACGATAGAGTAAACAATACAACAACCACTGACATAAACTTGAGCAATAAGGGGTATAAAGAGATTCTCGGCGGTGTTCTGTCTCGCGTAGAGGATGATGAAGATGCATGATATGAGGGCAACGGGGAACGCCGTTTCGATCAGCATGGACGCGGCGCCCAAGTACGCAGCGGAGGCATTGACGAGGCCGTTGGTGAGAAGTCTTCGCCGATGGTAGAGTATCTTCGCCGCAATTAGCGTGGTAAGCAGCATGTTGAGGGTCATCGACGTCGCCCAGCATGCAATGCCAAGGTTGGGGCCCCAAGTGCCTATGTAGGTGTGCGCCGACTGGACAATGTTCGCTACTGTTAAAACTTGCATCGAGATTCAATATACAGCTGTTGGCTCCCAAAGACGGGGACGTACCTATATTGACAATATACACACATCCTGGCAGGATGAGGACATACCATGACCGCCATACAACATAATTCCGCCATAGCTACTCGCCGGTACTAGTTAGCAAAGGCAACCCCACACGGAAGGAGATTCGGCACACCAGGAGTCCGTCGATCAGGAAGCCGGCTATGCTGGCGGCGGAGAGGCCCACGAGGACAATTGGCCGTGACTCCTCGTGCAGCAGAAAGGCGTACGGACCGCCATCGTAGCCCCGCTCAAAGATCCAGGCTTGTTGCGCAAAACGGATTGTGGTGGCAATGTGGATTGTCCCTAATGCGAAGATCGTGGTGTTGACTGCATGGAGCTTCCATCGAAGTGGATTTTGGCTCGTCAATAAATAGTGTGTGGCAGCGAAGTGAACAGCAATGTGCAACCCTACGAACAATGAGCGTAGTTATAGGCTAGGGATGGATTTCCGCTCACCATATCCAATAGCGCCCAAGTAGCCCGCCGTGTTTATGGATTGCTCCAACCAAAGTTCATCTGGAAGCTCGTCCGTAGCGGTGGTCCACATGGTTGGGTGTTGTCTTGAACTATGCATGGTTGTAGGGGGCTTCTTATACCACTGACATGTGATGTGATCACCACCACTGAGTATACAACGTAGTGGGTGTCAAGTCGACAGTACTCACGTCAATGCGCCCGCCATTCGGTTCAGATGAGGCAGAACACAGTTGATGAGCCTCGAAAACCAAGACCTATTGGTGTCCGATCATTTTCCCTTGATTAGGGATCAAATCCTATATAGACTTCAAGTGATCATCGATCAGCGCTCAGCTCCCAAATACCACGATCACATCATAGCACCTAGCTTCGTACATGTCTTTCAGCAGACAGGGAGCACTGCAGGGCGCTGGCGCTGAGAACGATCATTCGAATATCAGGCTTCAATGAATTTCGGCGAGAGAATGTTGTGACCTCGGTTGCCCAACGCCGGCAGCCGCAAAGAAGACCAGAGGGTGCATATGGCGTGGATATCTGATGCAACGCAGGTTGTCTGGTGCCCTGGTTATTGATGGTTTGACTTGATGCCTTGACATCTAAAGCAGTCTCCTATTGAAAGTACTAGCCCCCGTCCTGGGTTAGAGTTGAAGATAAGGTAGTGGAGAGATTGGTGACACTGTGAGCTAAGAAAGCCTTCACGGCCTAAAGTCAAAGATCTAAGTAGATGGTTATGATCATTGATAGAGTGAGCGGAAGGCTGCTAGATATACTGCCAGATATCATCACGCACATTGCTGAAGTCCTAGTGAGCCAATGACTCATGCCTAGTGCATTCATCTCGACCTAAATGCTGTCTCAGTCAAATTCGTCCAGAAGGATTGGAGGCCACGCAACATGAATGAGGACATCAAGGATTCTGGGTCAAGCCACAGACGACCACCCCAAACGAGGCCAATATTCTGTATCGGGCGAAAACACATCAAAGCGGACATGATGTAGTGTAGCGTCTAAGTTTTGTCGATGGTTGAAGTAAAGCCGGTACAGGCACAAGGGGACCGCCGCGTGACGAATAAAAAAAGTCCGCACATCTATTTACCCAACAATCGTGATTGATGCTTATCCGCAGATGTTGGATCTTCGGTCAGCCTCTATATTCACTAGTTGCACGAACGATGGGAATCGCCAGGTCAGATACTCACGAATTGTCCGATGAACTCGGCGGGACGTTATCTACAGTCGTACCTTTATCATTGAACATGCCATGGGTATCGCGTTCTACCTTCGGTCGACACTCAGCTGTCTGGGTAGACTCATATATGGCTACTCACACAAATCACCCAACTCCGCTCCGGTACTAGACTTATACTCTCATATCGTGGTTGTTTATACAGGTGATTTCTCTGCTCGCGTCTCGTGCCTATCAAACCCTTCCTTCTTGAGTATTCCCGCAGATCCTGGATCTTCGGTAGACGTGATAATGCTCGATGTTTCAAACTTGTGTGGCTGCCTGCTGGACCGTTGAGCGAACTGGATGTTCGGCAGCTCCTCAGGTGACGTTATCCTAGATTCCTGCGGGGAGTGGCCTGGGCTACCCTGCGCTCGGGTGACAGTATCAGCCGACCACGCATGGCCACGGTAGACCCGGATGATGATGAGCTGAGGGGCTATACACTTGAACAGAAGATGTCAATTTATATGATGCGCGACAAGCCAAGCACGTACATAAACTTGGGAAATCAAAGGAGTGAACAAGTTCTCTGCCGTGTTTTGTCTGGCGTAGAGGATAATGAAGATGCATGATATGAGGCCCACGGGGAATGCCGTCTCGATCAGCATAGATACGGCGCCTAGGTAGGTACTGGAGGCGTTGGCGAGGCCGTTAGCTAGGAGTTTGCGGCGGTGGTGGAGTATTTTTGCCGCAAGTAAAGTCGTGAGTAGCATGTTGAGCGCCATCGACGTCGCCCAACATGCGATCCCGAGGTTGGGGCCCCAAGTACCTGTGTATGGATGTGCGGACTCGATGATGTTCGCGATTGTCAACACTGGAGTGAAGAAGGAAGATTCAGGTTGAGAGGGCTTCAGAAATCGATTTGGCGTATGAGCGCACCGATGTCGACGATGTACACGCTTCCCGGCAAAATGAGGATGTACCATGAGTTCCAAACGACGCAAGTCCGCCTCAGCCGCGTCATCAATAAGTGAATGCGCTGGCAAGAAGATGGCCTACCAGTAATCCGTCTACCATGAAGCCAGCTATAGCAGCTGCAGAGATGCCTAGGAGGACAAGCGGGCGAGATTCCTCGTGGAGTAGAAATGCAGATGGTCCGCCAGGGTAGTTGCGCTCCAGGATCCAAGCCTGCTGGTCGAAACGGATAGTGGTGGCGATATGGATGGTCCCCATAGCGAAGATGATCGTGTTGAAGGCGTGGAACCTCCAGCGGCGGGGGGTTCGGCTTGCTAGCAAGTAATACGTTGCGGCAGAGTACACCGCGATATGCAGCCCTGTCGGACTCATTTAGTGGTTATCGTACTGGGGCAAAGAATATGCCTTACCATAGGCAATAGTGCCAAGATATCCTGCCGTGTTTATCGACTGCTCTAACCACAGCTGATCCCTTGGTTCGTCAATTGAAGTGGGCATCTTGGCAGTGAGATGTTGCCAAAATGGAGACCTGTAGAAACGGGATCTTATACTTCACTTCTGTGAAATGTATTGGGAAGATGGGACTCCTGGGAGCCCAGCACCATATGCGAACACAATTTGCAAGCTTGAACCAATTTTCCTCCATCTGCGAAGTCCATCACCTGAGGAGTGTGCCTTGCTTGAAAGTGGAAAGTATACACCCAGGTCGGTGAGATCGCGTCAGACTCGAAAGATGGGGAAGTAACTGTTGGGCGCTGGGCACTGATGTTGATATGATGATGAGGGAAGGTGCCTCTGCCCCTGCCGCTGTGCCGTCACGTGAAATAGTGTGGCTGAATCCATCACCTCAACTCCAACAAATCGCCATCGTCGTCAGATGATTCTTCTGGAAAAACAATATCCAAGAGCGCTCACCTAATATCAATTAATTGATTCTAAGCCGTACGCAAATGTCATATCCATCATTCTTCGCTGCCCCCTCGTTGCCTGCTTGAACTTGGAACTACAGGTTTGAAGCTGCAGCTGAAGTCGAAGTGCTGAAGGTTTGGCTTCCAAGCACTATGATGCCTCATTGTCGGTTGCTGATCTTTCGAAGGTGTATCCTTGCGCCCGTCCTCTCACTTCTTACGCTACCAAGGCAGGGCTGCGCGAAATGTAGAATGCGCTCAATACGTCTGCTTTCGCGGCTCACCGGTCACCTTTCAATCAGGGATTGCTGGCCAGTGTCTGTCAAGCGTCAACGCGTCATTGCCAAGACGGACTTATCTATGACCAGTTGCTCGTCCGCACAACACCCATGGCACCCATGTGACGACACCCTCCGTCTAGGCGTTCAAATCTCACACGCCTCTACCTTGTCAACACCATGAAGGTCATCGTCCTGGGGTGCGTCGCTCCAACTCAAAGCCAACCCCCACTTGATTAGGTAGATTAACACGTCCTCTTGCTAGCGCGACTGGGGCTATAGGCCTCCCCGTTTCCCAGGCCCTTTCTCGAGCCGGTCACATTGTCTACGGCGTAACCCGCTCGGAATCCAACGCTCGAAAACTTGCTACTGAAGAAAGTCAGTTTCTATACGTCGCACAATCCATCGGTCCAAAACTGAGCGAGTATACAGTAATCCCGATTGTGGCTGAACCAACGTCGGAGTCCTGGCATTATCTGATTGTTCAAGCTGATGTCGTTGTCGAGAGTGTTGGGGGGTATTCCGACCTCGCGCAGACGGCCCCCGCCATTTTACGGGGCGTCAGCAGATCCGCATCCACACTGAGACCGCCTGGCGCCCCGAAACTCACCTATATCTACACATCGGGTATATGGATCCATGGTGACAACCGCGAGGACGTCGTGTCAGACACCACGCCAATCACGAAACCAATCGACCTCGTCACCTGGCGCATTCCCTTCGAACAAGCAGTGATCGGGGATCCCAACTTGAACGGAATCGTCATCCGTCCTGCCCTCGTCTACGGCCGTACAGCGTCTATCCTAGCGGGTTTATTCAGGGCTGCATCGGAGGGAAAGGTTGCTTGGTATGGAACACCCGGAGGACGGTATTGCTTGGTGCACGCGGACGACTTGGCCGATCTTTACGTGCGGGCTGTTGAGAAGGCGCCGGTTCTAGGCGGTCAGATATTCGACGCTGCAAACGACTTCACGGAGTCCGTTGACGATCTCATGCAACGGCTTAACGAAATCTCGGGTGCTCAGTCCCCGTACGAATACATCCAACCGTCTACTCGTGAGCAAAGCTCTTGCCTATTACTCGACGCCTGGTTGGATTAACATGCGATGAAAGCTTTCGAAGCGGCCATTGGCACAACAGTGCTGTGCCGGCCATACCTCGCTCGAGCTCTTCTCGATTGGAAGCCTAGAAAGCCGGGCTTGGTAGATGGGTTGGAGATATATTATGCAGCGTGGGCCGCATCGCAGCAGGCGTGAGTCCTGTCACGGGATATTTGTCTTTCCTTCTAAGTGCTCCACATCTATGTATTCAAGTGTCTAAAAATCGTTGGCGTTCGTGTACTCTAACTCATTCACGGTGGAGAATCATCCCAAGTGCCGTCACCCGCTCAAGAATGAAGTACAATTAGAGTCGTGTGTAAATATTGTAGCTACATATTAGACAAATCTATATCAGGTGGCATGCGTATTTTCTCCCACGGGATAAATCTAGGGGTTAAAGTCAAAGGGATAAGTCAAAGGGATAAGTCTGTAGACATCTGCAGACAATGGTCGGTGATCTCGGTTCGCAATTGTTATATGATTGGTTGATTTGATGTGATTCATCACGTGCGTGACAGTTCGTGTGAAGCGTTTGCCACGTACCTAGCGTGTCCGAGCGCGTTCGTTTCCATTGCCAACGTTGTCAGCGCCGTCCGCCTCCGCTGCGTACGCAGAAACCAACGATGGGCAACACCACCAGTCAATCAAGGTAACCCTTAGCAAGATATTGTTGGCATGTATATATTCATACTTCTATGTGAATAAATTGAAGATTCCTCTGTATCTCTTATTGTTCAACCAACTCACCTTTCGCAGCGAGCAGTCAGCCACCTTCCAGTCCCAGTGCTTTCAAACACGAGCGCGCATCAGCTTTCGAGAAGCTAGAGAGCAAGAGTTCCTTCGCAGGAGTCCAGTTCACCAAGGGCACTCACTTCGGGATGAGAATGCAGGTAAGTCCGGACCTTAGTACTGTTGGATGGAGGTGTATTAACCAGGTTACATTATAGCTCCTCCCTCTGCAACTGCCCCCTCCGACACTCATCATTCCCGATATCTCCAGCCAACTACTGTCCATAACCAGGTGTTGACTCCACCCCCATCTGAAGTACCTAACCGGCGTGCCTTGGCTCAGCGGGAACGAAGAGCTCGAGAGCGTGCTGAAATGGTCCATCAATTAGCTCTTCGAGGAGATGCCCCTCTGACACCAGCAACCAGCGCGCTGAACTCTGATCGTCGTTCGATAGCACAACAAGCCCGAAGACAGTGCGAACGTCTTCAACGGGAACAGATGGAAGTACCAACCACGTCCCCTTTGGCCAGCGAACCTACTCTGAATCGCCGATCAATCGCTCAGCAAGCCCGCAGGGAGCGAGAACGAAATGAGCGGCAGCGGGAGGCGACACCTCAACCTTTGGAATTCCCGCCAACCCCAAGCAGCGAGCCACCCGTAAGTCGTCGATCAATCGCCCAGCAAGCCCGCAGGGAACGCGAGCGCATTGAGCGTGAGCACGAGACCGCCCAGCAACTATCACAGCCTGGAACTCTGTCAGTGGGCGAGCTGGCCCCAAGTCGCCGATCACTTGCTCAGCAGGCCCGAAGAGAGCGCGAGCGTGCTCAACGACTTAACATGGCACCAGACACTTTGCGCCAATTGCCGACACCACCTGCTACTCAACAAGGTGTCCCAGGTAAGTGTGATGTTGCGGGTCGCTTGCTTTTTGTTCACGCTGTACTAGGCCGCCCAAACCCTGGCCGAATGGTCACTTCGGCTACAAATTTGTTCATGGCAGCTCGCCACGCATACATTGACCCCCCGACAAGGCACGATCTAGGCCGCATGAACATTCAATGCCCTCATTGCTCCGCCCTCCATTGGAATGATGAACGTACATACAACTCAAGACGATGCCTAACGCCGGCCTTTGGCACATGCTGCAATCATGGGAAAGTGGAATTACCACCACCACGCCCGCCGCCTGACACTCTGCGCCTGTTGCTCGACGCAGATGACCCTCAATCCCGCGAGTTCAGAGCAAACATACGGATGTATAATATGGCCCTCGCTTTCACGTCGCTTGGTGTCAAGCAAGATCATAGTATCAACCAGCGGTTCGGTGGCAATACATGGGTCTTTCGCATCCAAGGCCAGTTACACCACAACTCTGGTGCCCTTGAATCAGAGGAAGGTACTGCACCTTCGTATGCACAACTCTACATTCATGACCCCGATGTTGCCCTGCGCCAGCGCATGAACCGTAATTCTACGCTATCGCAAGACACGATGTCTGCCCTTCAGACAATGCTGATCCAGCATCACCAGTATGCCGCCGTATTCAAACAAGCATTCGAGATTCTGAGGGATCTTGAGAATACCCCAGATGCCGAGATCAAGCTTCGTGTACAGCCATCGTCGGGTGAACACCGAGGTCGCCACAACCTGCCAACCGTTAACGAGGTTGCCATGATTATGCCGGGCGATACCTCATCACCAGATTACCGCGATATTGTTCTTCGGTGCCGCATGCCTCCTGGACAGACAAGACTTTACCGGATCCATGAGGGCCATCCTGCATATACACCACTACACTACGTGCTTCTCTTCCCTTTCGGAGAGCATGGATGGCATCAAGGGCTTTTACAGGTTGACCGAGAGGCCGGGAAGAAATCAAATTTGTCGCAAACCCGATATGCGGCATACCAACTTCATGTTCGTCCGGGTCAATATTCTACTCTTCTCCGAGGTGGTCGTCTATTTCAACAATTGCTCATCGATTGGTGGGCATCGGCCGATCAAGCCAATCTTCGGTTTCACTACACAAATCAAAACTCCTACCGTGCTTCTCTATTTAGTGGATTTTTCGATGCTCTCATGCACGATATGAATATTGATTTACATCAACTAGGAACTCGATACATCCTACCATCGTCCTACATCGGCGGTCCCCGTCACATGCAGCAACGGTTTCAAGATGCTATGGCAATTGCGAGACGATATCGAAAGGTGGATCTATTTATTACCGTTACAGCCAATCCTCAGTGGCCGGAAATTACGAGAGAGCTTCTGCCCAACCAAACAGTGTATGATCGGCCTGACCTGGTAGCACGAGTGTTTTACCTGAAGAAGCGCGCGATTCTGGACGATATCTGCAAGCATGGGATCTTTGGGTGCACCGTTGGCTGGGTTTATACTATCGAGTTTCAAAAGCGGGGTCTCCCTCACATGCACTTGCTGATTTTTCTTCAGGAAGGCCAGAAGCTTTTAACACCCGAAGATGTCGACTCCTGCATATCAGCAGAGTGGCCCGATCCTGTTTCTCAACCACTTCTGTATGAAACGGTCCGAACTTGCATGGTTCATGGCCCTTGCGGCTCGCTCAACCCCAATTCGCCATGCATGGAAAACCGCCGCTGTACAAAACATTATCCAAAGGACTTTCAGCCATTCACTCAGTTCAACGACGACGGGTATCCCCTCTACCGAAGACGAGACGATGGTCGAAAGTACCACATTGGTCAGCATGAACTTGACAACCGATGGATTGTGCCTTACTCGCCTTATCTTTCTGGAAAGTACAACTGCCATATTAATGTGGAGTGCGCTGTCATGTTACGCTCCGTCAAATACCCATTCAAATACATACACAAAGGCGGCGACCGTGCGACACTCGAAATTGAGCTCGATGAGATACGAACATATTTGCAAGGCCGGTATATTGCAGCATCTGAGGCATCGTGGCGTCTTTTCCACTTTCCTGTTCATGATCAAATCCCGACTGTTGTTCGGCTTCAAGTCCATCTTCCTGGACAGCATATGATCCGGTTCAACCCAGATGAAGACCCTCAAGCACTTCTAGAACGCGCGGCAAATGAGAAGACTACACTCACTGAATTCTTCGCTGCGAACAGGGATCCTGGGGCTCTAGGCAACGAAGCTCGGAAGTATACGTACTCGGAATTTCCTGAGCACTTCACTTGGAAGGATGGCACTAAATGGTCACTTAGGAAGCAGTTCCGTGGTGAATCCCCGCCAATCGGTCGAATGTACTTTGTACCACCATCTGCCGGAGAGCGATTTTACCTCCGGACACTCTTAACCACTGTCAAGGGGCCGACATCATTTGAGGACCTCCGTCGCTATCAAGGAACATTATACCCGACCTTTCGAGAGGCTTGCATCGCGCGTGGGTTGCTAGAAGATGATGGAGAGTGGCGGATGTGCCTTCAAGAAGCATCTGTCATGCAAACTGGCTCTCGCCTTCGATGTCTTTTTGCGACGATGCTTCTTTTTTGCCATCCTGTTGAGCCAAGCCACCTTTGGGATGAGTTCCGTCACCACATTTGTGACGACTTATGGCATCGTCTTCGTTTGGCAGGCCGCGCAAACCCGTCCAATGAGGATGTCTACGACTATGGTCTATACCTTATCGACAGAGTCCTTCGCCAATCTGGGCACTCACTTTCTGAGTTCCACTCCATGCCGCAATGGTCGCAAGACTGGGAGAGCATCGTTGACAATCCACTTATCATCGAGCAGCTCAACTACAACCGGGAAATGGAGCGTAATGATGCAGAGGCTCGAATTCAACAGCTTAACCATGATCAACAGACAGCCTTCGAGTCTATCATGGCATCAGTTCTGGAGAATCGTGGGTGGACCTTTTTTCTTGACGGTCCCGGTGGAACTGGGAAGACGTTTATATACAACACACTCTGTAACCGTGTCCGTAGTGAAGGGTGGATCGTACTTTGTGTTGCGTCGTCGGGAATTGCAGCTCTGCTTATGCCAGGAGGACGTACTGCTCACTCTCAGTTCAAGATCCCAATTGATGGTTTGACCGAGAGCTCCATGTGTTCCATTACAAAGGAATCCAACCTTGCTGGCCTTCTGCGAGCAACTCGACTCATTCTCTGGGATGAAGCGTTGATGCAGCACCGGCATACTCACGAAGCACTTGATCGAACATTGAAGGATATCCGCAACTGCAGCAAACCTTTCGGTGGCCTCACTGTTGTTTTTGGAGGAGATTTTCAACAAACACTTCCTGTTGTTCCAAAAGGCACGCAAGAACAAATCGTTGATGCATCTCTTCCACGGTCATACATTTGGACCTACATCAAGTCAGATGACCATGACCATGTCCTCCGGCTTCGTCAGAATATGCGATTGGATGCTGGGGAGGATGAAACAGAGTTTGGAAATTGGTTACTCAGAGTTG